TTTTGCATACAAACCAAATCTGGAAAGGAATGTACATAAATGAAAATAATAGCAAGAGTGTGGGTGATGGTGGTGGTGAGACCACATGGATTTGTAATAATAAAAGCATCACTGAGTAGCTGCTGTGGTCCAGGTTTGTGCTGGGCTCTTTCCTTTCTTTTGTTTAATCCTTCAAGGTAAGAACAGGTATGAAAACCAAGGCACAGGAAAAGTTGGGTAACCAACCCAAGATCACACAGCAAATGACTCAAACGTTTATGGAATGGCTAAAAGGAGCCAGAGCTCCAGGGAACCAAATGGGGTGGGTAGTATCCATGCACAGGCTCCCAGGCCAGCCCTGCCCTCTCTTTTTGATGTAGATCCCTGTGTGATGGAGCAGTAAGGGAGGGGCCTTAACTCTGGCCCAAGGCTGCTGTTGCAATTCTACAACTTGAACCAAGGTTAAAAAATTCTGAAAGTTACTATCTGCAGCCCCATGTGTTTATGAGAAAAGGTTGGGGGGAGGGTCCTTAAAACTGGTAAGGCGACCCATGAGGATTGCTGTGAGTTCAAGGCCAGCATGGGCTGCCTAGTGAATTCATGGCCAGCCTGAACTACAGAGCAAGACTATCCCAAAAAACAAAAAAACATAAATTCTTACTTCACATAGGACAGAAAATTCTCCCACAATCAATAATCCATCAAGAGACTTTTACACAGATGGACAGAACTTGGAGAAACTAAAAGGGCATTTAGTCCAGGTTTTCTTGCTAGTCAGCCCTTGTCAGGCCCTGGCATGTCAGACACCCTGTCTGCCCCTGGGGATGAGTCCCTCCCTCCTGCTTAAGAGTTCACTGAGTTTCCGTGGGTCTCTCTCAGCCCCAGGGCTTCATCCAACTTTATTTGCTGTCATCTGAGTGACAACAACAGGTACTAAATTCTGGTTTTCCCAGTATGACATTATGACCTTGAGTTTGCTTTCTCTGGCTGAGGAGTTGCACCCACACCCCTGCCCCCACCTAGTGCTCTCACATGTCCCTAAGTGTTCTGTTGTCCCAAGGAAGTAATTATGTTTTTCTCCTAGAAGTGGTTTTCACTGAAGAGCCAGGCGGAAAAGCAGCCCCCAGTGGGCTGAGCAGCAATTATTCGTGTAAATTTAGGAATGTTCTTCGCAGCGTTTCTGCACAGTCTGTCTCCCACCTCACACCCCGCCCCACTTGCTCAGCATTCTCTCACACACAGACTCCCAGGTCACAGCATGCTCATTCTTTTCATTGTTAATCTGTTCATAAAAGCAGCCTGAGATAGTGAAAAGTGCACTAGATGAAGAGACAGGAGGCTGGAATCCAGGTTCCAGCTTTCAATTAGCTTTGTGACCTTGAATCAGTCACTTGACCTCCCTGGGCATCTGTTTCTTTCTGTGGGAAATGGGAATGATCATTGCCTCTTGCCTCATGGGCGCAGGTACTTATGAGGGTCAGATGGGACCATGACGGTAACAGCAATGGGATGTAGTGGCGAACCGAAGGCAGCTAACCATACTCAGATGGGAGAGATGAAAACTGGGACAGGCAACCCTGTCAAGGCTGCATGTTTGGCAGTTCCCACTCTTTTTTTTTTTTTTTTTTTTTTTTTTTCTTACAATGCCAGAGATTTGACTCAGGGTCTTGTGGGTGCTAGACAACTGCTCTACCACTGAGCATACCCCCAGCCTTCTGTTGCTTCCATGGTCAAGTTCGGCCATGAAACAGCCTTTTTTGCTGCTGTCTGGGGGCAGCCTGGGGACTGCTGCAGAGATGCCCTCAGGTGCGAACTTGTTAAGAAACAAGCAAGGCTGCTGCCTCCAGCCCTCTGCCAGGTTCCTCAGATACCACTGAAAAACCCAGAGTGCTGAGCCCAGCCTCTGGGTCAGAGGGCCTCCGTCAGCTATGACAGATAAGAACCAGTTCCATGAGCTGTGCAGGGGGTGGCTTGTCACATCTGGAAAGCCACACTGTCCTGCCCAGGAGGGGTCTACACAGAAAGGTTTTTGTCTTCTCTCCACAGAGTATTAACTTAAAAGTAAAGGTCTTGTCCCTCCCCCCCTTTTTTTTTAGGATCTGGGTCCCCTGGATAACTGGTGGTTTCTTAGGCTTTGCCATTTAGAGCAAGGGCTGGCTCTGGGGTCAGAACCTAGCTGGACTTGGCTATTCCCTGGCTCTGGGACTCTGAGTAAAGTTGCCTCCCCTTTCAGAACCCTAGCCATTTCAGCTGAAAGCAGAGATGTGGCAAGATAGCCAGGATGAGGCATGTACAGACCCAGCTCCCCATGAGGTAGGCTACTGAGTGGGCCCAGAGCTACTCACAGGGACCCGGATGAGGGGTGGCCGGTGCCTCCTGCCAATGCTCCCACTGGTGGGTGCTCTTTCTGTGCACCCACCCTTCACTCTCCAGGGGACCTCACTCCTCCAAGACTGTCGTCCCAGAAGCCCCTGGGCTCCAGATAAAGCCAGGACACATGGAAGCACAGTCTATCTGGGAATCTTGTAGGACTGGAAACTACCTCAGTGAATCCTCAAAACAAGCCTGGGAATAGGTGTGCTGACAAGCTTCATAGAGCTCAGTCATCTGATGGTAGATGAGGCCATATTCAAACTCAGATTTGCCAGCCTGTACAGCCCATGCTTTCAGCTTCTCACCCATCCTGCTCCCCAACACTTGAACTAGAAACCACAATATTCCACATGAGATTGGCTTAGTATGGAGAAGAGGGCTTATCATTTCTTATACTTCTACTGATACACTCTATAATTCAGGGTATTCCACTGATTGGGGGGCATAGGAAAGAAAGGAATGCCAGAAGCTGGCCAGAATGTATTTTCCTAAGTTCCACCTTGACGTAGCCTTCCCACCGGTGGAGGGGAAGAATGCCCCAGTGGTGGGGGCAACTGGAAGGAAGGGTTTCATGAGGAAATGAGCCTTCGCTCGGACTTGCAGCCCAAGGGCAGGACACCACTGGAGGCCTGTACAAGATAGAGACAGAAATCTGCCCAGACATCAGGGACAGAGGGAAGTGAAGAGGACTCAGTTACGCAAGGAAAGGTGTGGAGAAGAGATAAGAGCTGCCCCAAGAGGCCACCAGGCCGGCGGGATTTGAAACTGTGAGAGACACTGAACGCGTGATTGCCAAGGGACGAAAGGAGAACAGAAGAGCGTGATCTGGCCTGGGGAGGGGGGCTGGAAAGGAAGCTGGGACAAGGTTTTAAAGCAACTGGGGCAATGAGGAGGAGGCGCTGGGATGATTCAGCTGCACAATCATCCCCAGAGCTCTCTGCCTACTTTTTGTGGGTCAAATATACTCATGGGGTTCTGGTCCCTGAGGGCTGTGCAGAGAGCCCAAGCCCCCACTCATCTCTTCCCCACAATAACATGAGTCCCCCCAGTACACCTGTGCTGAGTACATCACAAGCACTGTTGTATAACTTCCAGATTGTCCCTGGAGCCATTGCTATCCTCATTGTCCCATTTTCCAGATGGGGAAACTGAGGCTGCAAGAGAGGCAAGATAGCCCAGGTCTCCCAAATGAAGACCAGTAGGCTAGGGTTCTAACTAACATATGCACTGCTTCTATGGCCCCTGTATAGTTATAAAGCTGTGAGCCAAGAGAAGCACACAGGACCCTCATCAGCAGGCTTTCAAAGTGAGGGTGTTTGGGGTTCTTGTTTTGTTTTATTGTTTTTTGGTTTTTTGTTTTTTTGTTTTGGTTTTTTTTTTTTTTTTTTTTGAGGTAGGATCTTGCTATGTAGTTTAGGCTGGTCCTGAAATCACTATGTAGCCTATGCTGCCCTTGAACTTGTGGCAAAGTCTCCCGAGCCTGGGATTATAGGTATGTGCCACCATGCCCAGCCTTGAAGTGAAGTTTGAGGAGACCTGCATCTACCAAGACTAAAGAATTGGAACTTGAACCTGTAAGTAGAGCATCATTTAAAGTACTGGACCAGGAGAGTTCATCTGGGAGCCTTCTAAGGGTATAAGGGAAGCTGGACTTGATGGTGTACACCTGTAATCTGAGCACTGTAGGAGGCTGAGGCAGGTGGATCTCAAATTCAAGACCAGCATCAATTCAGCAACTCTACAAGATGCTGTCTCAAAATAAAACAGGGTTAAGGATGTAGCTCACTGGGCTCAGGGAGCAGTCAGAGGTTCCATGCAGGAGTTTAGAAATGACAGCAGGACAAGAAAGGTGGTCAGCACAGAGACTGTCCACTGAGGGGCTGCCAGTCAACATTTTCTCTATATTCTATCATTGCCCTGTCCTTGGTGCCAGCTGGAGTCTGCCCTTGGCATTCAGTTTGTGTATAAATTCAGGCACATCAGTCCAAGGCCACAAACAAAAAAAGAAAAATGGTTTTACATGGTGTGGCACAATTGATAATGAGCATAGCCTCTACAGCCATCTGTCTTGCATTTGGCTGTTTACACTCACTAGCTGTGTGGCCCTGGCCAAGCCACTTAACCTCTCTGAGCCTCATTTTCCACCTGTAAAATAGTGAGCAGTGCCCACCTCAAATGAGGACCCAAAGTCACTGAGTAAATTTACAGCACCTGGCCCAGGCCGGGTCCTGGCTGAGCGCCCAGAGAAGGCAGCTATTTTTGAGTGTGCGATCTTCCGAGTGTGCCGGTTGCCTGCCCCAGGACAAAGTGTTCGTCCTTTCCTCTAGCTCAGGAAATGTCTACAACCTCATCCTGCCCGAGGGATTTGTATTCTGTCCAACTCTGCACATTGCTCAGACACTTAAAATTCATTGATTTCTGTCCTTTGCTCAGAAGACTTCGAACTCATTTGTAGGACAGGCCTTGTTCCTTGTTTTTGGAAGGGCTCACTGGGTTACAGGGACGGAATCTATTTCTTTTTAATAACTTACA